TTCTCTCACTTGCTGATAATTGACCTATGGAGAATTGCTCATGTACGGCAGAGCACACTGACTGAGCCTATCAACTCCTCTTTGCATGCACTTTGCAGGTAACATTAGCATGAGACAAAAATATCTCTTTTCACAGAGATCAGCTTGTAAACATGATCGGGACTTGATCGTGTTGTGCATTTTTTGAATGTGGTCCTGCATGCAGAATAATCCAAAGCAGAATTATCTACCACAAAGCTTAAATCCCTTTAGATCCAACCATAACTTTTTAAAGCCTCTCCCAGTAGAGCTGTTTTTACACGCTTTCATACAGTCTCCCCTCTTTCTTATCTCCCTTCTTCATTTCTCCTTCTCCTCCTCCTCCTCCTCCACTTCATCTTCTCACTTTCCTGTCCTTTCTGCTTTCATGTTGCCTACTGGGGGACGCCTGTTTGTCTGCTTTAAGTGAAATCACTCAATTCTTTCAGGAAGAGACTTTGGAGACCAACGGTAACCAAGATAGAGGGAGAGAGAGAAAGAAAGTATGTGTATGAGCCAGAGTCCACCTTCCAAATAAGTTCCATTAATCATGGGCCAGAGTCTAATGTAACTAATATTTTACAATTAGAGGAGACAAGATGGAGCTGGGGGCTATCTATCTCCCTTACACCACATGATCATCGATTCATAAGAGCTGAGGAGAGAAAAAGAGGTACGCCACAGCACAAGTCCTGCATACAGCACACACTCACAAACACACTCACTTTGCTGGGCACACACTGGTAAACATGCAAATGTTAACACACTCACACATAAGCACAGATGTCCCGCAGAAAACAGAAAGATGCACGTGAATGAGAGGGTAAGGTGTCGCTTGTATTTTCAGCTTAAAATCAGGGCTGCAACATTTATTTTTCTTTCCAGATTTTTTCCCCCCAGTCAGTTTATTATTTGTCTGGTTATACCAGGCCATAAAATGGCAGAAAAAAGAATCGGATTACACATTCTGAGACCCCACAGTGAAATGTTGAAACTGGCTGCCTTGTCTGGCCAACATATTTAATTTACAGAAGAGCAGGAAACTCTCACACTCAAGACAGTGGAATTCGAGAATGTGGGGACTTCGAAATGAATTTATCAGTTATCAGAAGTGATGGTAATTTTTTTTTTTGTCTTACAGAATGTGTAGGCACAGCTTACTCTGAATAGCTTAGAATCATGACTTTGTATTTTCTGTGTCATAGAAGAACAATCAGTAGTTTAATTCATGGGACACGGAATATTTATTTATTATAAAGTCATTCATTTTAAATTTAGGTTGCAACATTGAGTGGTTTAAAATAAAGTCCTTCATTTGCACAATATATCTAAGCTGCATCTTTGCCTTAATCGTTTAGTATAACCCTTGCAGAAGAGGAAGGGAACACATTTCAACCTAATTTAGTTTTTTTCAGTTCCAAAAATACAGAAAAATGACAATAATACAGAACCAGGACTTTTGTAAACTAATGCAGATGTTTTGTTTTTAGGCTGGTGTGTATTGTATTTTGGTTACTGTTGTGTTTATAATATTTACAAAAATTAAACATAAACCCAAGAATAAAGGGAAAAGTGGAGAGGGTGCCAAATTAAATAACCTAATAAAATAGAACAAAGGCCTAAGAAGAACATAATTCAGAACTAAAAAGAAAAGAAAGCCCAAAAGAAATGACAGAGGACAAGCCCTCACCTCTGTATTCGTTTATTGAGCAGTGTAAAATCTTCCCGAGTCCTCCTCCCAGAACCAGGGCATTCTAAATAACAAATTCAGGTGTTAACTTAAGGAATTAAAAAAAAGGTTTCTTCTTTAACAAAGAAAATAGAGGTAACAATGTTTCCTGGATGACTGAGGGAAGACAACCTATTTTTGAAAGCACCATAGCAGCAAACACACAATGAGATGCACGACACAAAATGTGCTTTTGGCTAAAGTGCCTTTGTGTAACAGATTAAATCCCTACTAGCTGCTGGCGCCCTTCTCTGACCTGCCTTTGGAACAGAAAGACAGTAGTGTAGAGACGATTTTAAAGTCCGTGCTGTTGTAGCTCAAAACATTTTGAGCTTGCACTAAAATATGTTATTTTGTTTAGTTTTTGTTGTTTTTATATACATTTATTTATGCAGTTAACTGATCAGTTATTTTCTCTGCAAATGAAGCTTTGCTTCAACGCCTTCTACACACTGTCACAAATACAATTCTGATGTGAAGAATAATAAATGATTAATTTGCCATTTCATTTGCCTAACAGTGGTTAAATTTCAACAGTAATAGATTAATAAAAAAAAAAACCATACTATTCCCAGAACATTTTCAGTGTTTATCTCTGCAATGCAACATGCAACTTGTGGAGTGGAGCGCCGTACCCACCGGCAGCTCTGCACCAAAACCTGGTCTCTTGTGCCCTCTAGTGGTTCAACCAGAGAGCTGTGCAGCAAGAACCCAGCCATTTTAATGTAATGGAGGGGAGGGGAAATTAGAGGCAGCTGAACAAATGAACAGAAAGACGGGTTCATCAGCAGGTCACCATCTGCCCGGCGACCAACCAAATGCTGGCACAACTGCAACCTCTGCAGAGCATCATCTAAACACATCAATCCACATGTAGACGCAGGCAGACAGTTATTCAACACGCCAGCATGCATGAACAAATGTGCTTACACACACAGCTGCACAACAAGCCATGGAGGAAAATGAGAGGAAATGGATACTGAAGAGGGACAGAGAGAGAGAGAAATGAAAGACAGGGGAGAGACAAAGCAAATGATGGGAGAGGAAGTTAAATGAAGGGCAAAGAGTGGTGTACATCACAGTGTGAAAGAGGTCGCTTCAAATGTTGGAATTGCTCAACTGAACAGCAAACAGCAGAGCACATGCAAACACACACACACACACACACACGACAGGCCGGATGGAATGAAAGATGACCTAATGTGTTCTTTAATCAGACACATGTGTGCTGTTACATGGAGACACACACCTACTCCAATGAATCCACACACACATTAGTGAATGTCTACTGACACCCCAACACACAAACACATGTACACAATAAAAATTTATAGCCCACACACACACACACACACACACACACACACACACACACGCACACACACACACCACATAAACACAGAGAGAGACAAAGCAAGTAATATCCTGATTGTTCTTGTTCAGGCTCATATCCAGGCATCTAAAACATCCTTCTTTTGGTGATGTGTGTATGTGTGTGTAGATATAAACCACTCAAACAGTTACTTTCTCCGGATGTGAGTTTTATTGAGAACAGATTTGGGAGATTTGTGGCTTGAGGCCCCCCACATCTGGCGCAGTGCAGCTGATCCGTTTAAAAATTAGTCAGGCATTGACCTGGGCAGGCTCCCAGCAGCTCAGCGGCCTTCAGGGTTCTGACGCTAGGTTAACACAAATACAGATAACCATCAGTGTGGTGCAGATTGGGTTTCAAATGACAGAGGGGAGCAATGAAACTGTAAAATATTTCTTCCTTTGAAAAGCAGAGTGGGCTGAACCAGCTGGGAGGAAACTTTGTATTGAAGTTCACTTCTGATGTGTGGGAGATGTGTCGAGATGTGTTTTTACTCCTATGTTATGCTTGGGGGAAAAATATTTGACTTGCACCCATGGATGTACAGTACATACCACACATACAAACATTTATATCCATACAAGTATACTTGTATAATTTTGGTTAGATTCTTCAGCTTGGTGTTTTCCTTTTGACCTCCAACCCCCCCACCCACTATAAAGTCACATTCATCTGCACTTTCAATGCAGATGTGAACACTGAGCTCAGGTGTAGCAGTTCTGTGCTTTGTACAATAGTACAGTTACCACCCCAGCCACCTACTTGTGTTTTTGGTGCAGTTCATAACTGTAGTGCCTCATTCATTCATTCATTCATTCATTCAGGTAGTGCCTCATTCATTCATTCATTCAACACAATACACACACACACAAACTGGGAGAACAGTAAAACATTTTAAAGTTTGCTAGAGTCTACTTGGAGAAGCGTCTGTTTGTCTGGCCTTTGGTACTGGAGCATGCAGTCATGATACCCAGCATTGTTGTTAAGTTCAAACAAAGTAATTGTAGTTGTTAGTTTAAATATGTTTTTAATAAGCAGTATACAAGCACAGATTCATAAAAAATGAGTGGGATGGACCAGGAGGCTCAAAGACAGAGCAGTCCAAAGCATGCACTTAGTGTCCTAAAGAAGTTAACCTAGAAACAATGACTGAATAGGGAGCAGACAGAAATCAGGCCAGACACAGAGATGTATGGTACCCACTCAAAGTGACTGGCTGTCATTTAAATGTCTTCCCTTTACATTTTGCCATGTGCTATGAGCATGTTCGTGTGATTCCCATCAGCCCCATATTGTTTCGCTGCAGTTACTTTTAAGAGCACTGTAGGTAGACAAAGTGGTGCAGTCAGTAATTTAGTTGTATATATTCGACATCCTGATCACAGTCTGTGAAGCTTAAATTGACTGAGAGATAATAACTTGTATTGGAAGTGATGGACTGCTCTCCAAATGGTTCACCCTCTTCTGATCACACAGCGACACTCCAACGTGGCGGCTCACCTTTGTGATTCTCGCTCAGTCAGAAATGAAGAAATTAAAAACATGAAACAGGCCGTTGCTCTGTGACAATCTTTTTTTTTTTTTTTTAGTTTTTTTATTTTTATTATAAGTACAGTTCAGTAGTTACAAAACGAAGCATCTGCCATGAGGATACAGCAAAACATAAAGAGTGTTCAGCTCACAAGACAGGTTTTGTACATAGTATGTGGAGTGGAATGCTTATTATAGCTGGTTCAGAGAAGGAGAGAGCTCAAGCGAGACTCTCACCATTAATCTCTCATCTTTACACCCCTGGAAAACCGAGATAGGGTCAGAGGTCAAAGCCATTGGTCAATGCCTCAAGGATCCGTCTGATTGGTTCACTCAGACCCCATTCCATTACATCTCACCTTTCATATTTCTCACTCTGATGACTCTGTTTTAGTTTTGAATCCCCTCTTTTCCTGGCATGGTGAAATTGAAAGAATGGTTCACTATAATCTACATAAATGATTTTTTTTTTAAAGTCAGAGGTCGTACTGTTGTGCAGCAAAATCAAGATGGAAACTGAGCACTGAAAATCACTCAGGCTAAAACAGTACTGGGCCTATGCTGCAGGGCAAAAGGGGATTTGCATAAAAAAGAAATATGGGTAACAATTTGTCAAAGCCACATAGAGTATAGAGGTTGATCAAACTAAAAACAACGGAAGTATTATATTTGGACTGTACATACCGAATTTTTCTCTGGGTTCACAAAATTACGTAGAAACATTTCACAATGCCAAGGGACACACAAACACACACCTTCAGTTTAGTTAGCTAGGTTTTTTTACTGTATAGGTTGGATTTATAATACTATCACAGTGCAAAATACTTCTGAGAACCAAAACAAATGAAAGAAATAAAGGATAAAGTCCCTCTATTCATAATGGATTTTGTATATATGGGGGCAAATATGTTTGCAGCACAGGAGACGATTGTCATCTTTTTACTTTTTTTATCAGTAAATGGAGAAGGCATTAATGTACAGTACATATAAAAATGAAAAATAAAATCAACCCTACATCCTACAGTCTAGCACAGCTACATAGCTTTGTAGAAGCAGTAACAGATGACTTGTATCTAAGGCTATACACAATAAGTCTTTTTTCCAGTTTTTTCTTCTTTTTTTCATCTTAAAGTAAATACATCAAACCTTTTTCAGTAGTCAGTAACACTGTGCAACAATGATCGGTGGCAGTATTTTACAAACATCTGCAACACTAGAGTCCTTGAGGTTGACATGAGAGATGAAGAGAAAGAGGTGGAGGGTGATGAAGAAAAAAAAACTGCTCCCCCTTTTGTTGTATCTGAAATCTATTTTTTCCTTTTTTTAATTCTTCTCCATTAAACTCTAGAAGAATGTGGCCGTGCAAACTACTGTCACTTCTTTGCTTTCCCTTGTCACAAATGTTTTTAGACTTTAGTTTTCACTTTTTTAACTACTCTATGCCTTTCTATGTACATTAAGCGCCTATGGGTGCAGTTTAAATGATACAGGAAAAGAAAACTAGACAAATGGAACCATATGGCAGGGTGAAGGCCTGTAGTTTGGTTATGAAGGGGTTTATAGTATTTTAAGTACGTTTAGGGCAGTTTGACTATTCTGTCTTATTCCCACTTATCATCAGCACCACCATCAAAAGTCAACTATCTTACCAGCAATATCATATAATTTCTGGAAGCAAACTTGAATTGTAGATTGTCATATGGTGCCCTGTCCTTTGTTATAATCAGTGTCAGCTGATGGCAGAGCCAGAAGTGGCTGGTCTAACAGGAAATGCACTTGGTCTCTGTCAACAGTCCAGTAAAGTTTGTCTTCTACAGTAGAGTACATTCCGGGTACAATATAATGGTAACTGTCATCTTCATTTAACAAGAGAGAAGTCTTGGAGAGCATTTAATTAAGCACTACACTTCAGTCTTAATTCAAAAACAAGACATACTTTTCTAGCTCAAGGAATGTATCAGAAATTGTGGGACCAGTTACAGGAAGTGCTAATCAGACAGGTAGTTTCATCAAAAGAAAAACATAACACAGTATAAGATATAAGACAGCAAAGACAAGGGGCATTCAGACCACAGGAGACAAAACAGGAAAGTTGCTGTCACTTTATTTAGTGTCCAAGGATGCTTGCAAAAGTCATTAGGTCCATCTCGCAAATCCGCCCCCAAAGGGACCTCCCAAACCTTCCTTCATATAGTTCTGGCCTTTTCTTGACTCTGAGGGTAGTATGTGTTTTTTTCATCTTAAATAAAGTCTTTGTTATAGTGTATCCCTTCATTCATCCTTCATCCTCCTCCTCCTCATCAATGCCTTCATCATCATCCTCATCATCATCATCCTGCCTTGCTCCGATGTGGGCCGTTAGTCTTTGTTTACAGCGTGGGCGTCCAGCCCCTCAGGGTTGCCTAGGTTATGGTTGTTAGGGTGGTTAAGGTCGTTGTTAAGATGGTTGGTGTCATGGGTCAGCGCGGGGTCATGGGTCATGGGCTGGTCCTCCTCTCCCACCCACAGATGCACTACAGCCAATGAGAGAACAAGAGGCAGATTAGCACCACGGACCCAACAAACCGACCCCACTCTGCATCACAAACACACACCTCAGCATTGCATCATACAGTCAGTGGGGCCAAATGGATGGATCAGATATATGACTGTCAGCTTTGCTCAATGGACTGTGGCCAATCTTGTCAAAAGAATTTTCACCAAAATTAAGGAAAAAAAAAAGTTTTTATGACTACACCTAAAAATAGTTTTGGTCTGAGTCTCCGCCCCAGTATGATGGAGGCCACTGGAATTGTGTTTGTGGTGTTCACAGCTTTTAAAAATTCAGCAGCTACATCTATTTTCAAAAATAAGATGTTTGCGTTATGCTGCATAATCTATAGACCTCACTGTCAAACATGACTATGTTTGGTACAAAGTAGTCCCAGTGAAATCTAACCAGAGACAAGATTTATCTCCAAAACAAGGACGCCATTGTTTTGAAGAGGGGAAAAAAGTTGCTGTTGAAATGTTTTCAAAAACATTTTCCCACAAAAAAAAATTTGCTCTGGATGAAATATCAAAGAAGGGTACTTCCAGTTTGAGACAAATCAAACAAAGTATAGAAATAAGCAAGAAATAGCTAAATGTTAGTTTCACAGAACAGGTCATTTATCAAAGTATGTGAGTATAAAAACAATGTTAATGCTAATATACTGCTGATATGTGTTTAGTTTCTAAACATATAGGGTGGACAAATTAACAGGAACACTATCAAATAAGATGCATTCAAATAATTCCACTCATTACATGTTCATATAATTGAATTCACTCCTCAAAAAATAGCATTGTAACCTTGTTGCTGCAGCACTATAGTTATTCTATAGGTATTCTATCCATCTTGCTATTTACTACAACAATTTGCAAGGTAAGAAGTTGCTCTTTACAGGATCCAGGTCAGCAGAGCTTTCATTAGATTGCTACATCTACTGTACAGATCTACCATTTATTTCTTCCTAATTCTATTTTTTTTGTACACAGGAGCTTACACTATGAGATTGTGATAGCGTGCTCAGTGAAATAATCATTTCTAAAATGATATGAGACACTAACACATTATGGTTATGACTACTGGAGTAGTTTCATACTTGTTACAAGCAAGTTGGTTGGCTCAATAAGTGTGACAGGAAGTGTGACAGTGGGTGAGAAGTGAAGTGAATAATTCTAATAAAAAAGTCTGACGACTCGGTGAGACAGTACAAAATGCATAACTGTAATTAGGTCCCACAGCAGCGGCCACTAAATAATACAACTTGTCCCTGCACCCCCTCCTTTTTCTACACTTTCATTCCCTCAGCAACTTCTTAGAAAATTATTTTGCAATAAAACACTGCTGAACACATTTGCATGTCATGTTCTTTTAAAGTGGCGTTATGAATCTGACAAAACCAAATTAAAACACGGCTTTATTTGAGCTGTGCTTTCGCAAGGATGGAAATGGATATCAAAATGAAAGGAAGTGCCGCTGTAACAGAGGGAAAAATAAAGCGCTAATAACATGATAAAACATCTCTAAGATTCAACAATGAGTAATAACTCTCTAGCTGTCTGTGCATGGAGTGAACACCCCAGCATCACTGTGCCACCAACAGTCACTTTGCTGGATGTCTCGTATCGGCTTGTGCTCTGCTATTATTCATTTAGGATGCCCCGCAGTGATGCTACAGGATCATTTCATATAGTTGTTTTTTTGAATTGTAATGATATTGGTAGAAGTTGACTGGTTTATTGAAAACTGGAACAGTTCAAACCTGATTCCTAATGCACACTTATAACATTGTAGCACTGTTGACATGACTAGCTGGGAATGTACAGCTATGTGGGAACAGATGGTTTACTAACTGGTGTTTTCTGGTGTACAGCTCAGACTGTACTGTAGTTCCTTATTATAGTGAAGGATGTGAGTTCATAACCACCTTTCACCACAAGATGGCAAGCTAAGACAGTAAATAGGTCACCCAATCATACGTCCATTAAGACCTATAATTTCCCTATAAATTCAGTTTTGACATTTTCACATTAAAAGCCATACCTGAATTAGAAGATAATTTACCTAAACACACTGAAAAAACTGAAATAATCCACCATTAAACATAACACATTTGTTTATGCCCATGAAATTTCAATTCAAGCACTAGGACTTTTTATTTTATTTTATTTTAATTTTTTTTATGCAAAAGCCATCACGTCCAAAATAAACCAAAAATAAAGTTCCCTTGTTTTGAAGCTTCAAAAAGTGTCTGGTCCCTTCCCAAGGGCACTTCCTGCCTTTGACTTCCCTGTAAAGAAACTTCCTGTAACGAGCTCCAGATTAGGTCCCATATTTGATTTTCACTGTTCATTAACTAAGCCACCTGGAATGTTATTATTTAAGCATGGTGCTCCTTCTCCCCAAACAACTGCCGCTGCGAAGGGGGAGCGATTTCCTGGCCAACTTTATAGATTTAGCATAACTTCCCCTCACAGTTTTAATTTCCCATTCGGGCAGACGGCAGATGCACCTCACAGACAGAAAACCTGCCTGGCATTCATTTATCACATGAATGCAAAGCTTATCTATTTGTTTCCTTCAAAGATTCTGCCCTTTTAGGGGGTTGGTGCAGTGTGTAGAAATGATAGCACTATGATAGTGGTATAATTTTGATAAAAATCAGTTTGAATAAAGATGATCCAACTATTACTGTTTCAGATTTAAGCCAAGGAACAGCAGTAAAGCACCATTCGATATGCCCCTATCTCCACAGCACTCTTAAAACGCCCTGTGAAAGAGTAAGTGCGCCCTCTTGCGGTGTGTTGTGAGATAGCAGATGGAGAGAGGTGTGGTTATCGGGGAGGAGAGGACATAGAAAAAGGAAAACATATGGTGTGAGGACACACAGCTCCAGGATCCATCCACTGTTAATACATGTGTCATGCTTAACAGAATGGATAAATGGGAAGGAGGATGGAACAATGGCATACCGCTGCACTCTGAGCATGTGTCAGAGACTGCCTTGGGATACGCTGGCCTGTGTGTGTGTGTGTGTGTGTGTGTGTGTGCTAATAAGTCTGAGTGTGCGGTCTCATACGTATCACCTAGCATTAATAGCAGTCTGTGAAAACATCACACAACAGACCCTCACCAAACAGAAGCTGGTGTTGTGTTTTGCAGTTTAGCACCCTGCGATTACTGAGGCTGGTGGTGTGGCATATCTGTACAGCACTTCTTGATAAAACCAAAACAAATGACTGTGGAGAGCTGGTGCTTCTGTTTCACCAGCTTTATACTCTATTCTGTACCCTTGTTGATAAGCATTAGAGTTTATCTAATGTAGAGCTTTGAAGGTTGAGAGGTATTTTAACATGGATCAAACCAGCTGACATTTTGTTCAGTTTTAATTTAAGCTTTTGAAACTGCATCCTAAGTTGGAGAAACTCTCCACTGGCACAGCCATGTTTTGAGAAACCTGTCTATAAGATTTATGCTTCCATTTCAATACAATGGAGTGGATGGAATTTTGTCTGTGGTGCTCAGGACACTGTAAAAATGTTCCTATTACTCTTGATAACCCAGTAACCCAGAATATTATTTGTGGAAAGACACAATGATGTTGAATTCTCCTATTTTTCAATGCTGTAAGCACCACAAGCTAAATCCTATTATTCTTATTGAGGTGGAGACAAAAATTTCAGAGAAAGCTATCTCCAAACCTAACTAAATAAAATCTGCATGGTAACCTAGGTGATAGATTTGAGATTCATAACTGATAATCAAATGATGAAAACCCCTACAAGAGATATGTGAGAAAGCAACAGCTTCTTTAGGTTAGACACGGTGAAGCAGGCTCTGTCTTAAGCAGCTGAGGAAACTCAATTTGTTATATCCATTGAGTTTGAATCCAGATGACTGGATGAATGTCAGTTGTCTGTTAAAAGTTATATCATATATCAGTCTCATCTCCAAACAAACAAAAGCCAGACATCAAAAGTAGCCTGATTGCAGTGTATTATCTGTCCATATGGACTTCGGCTGAGTTTTTGAACCCTCTCTCTGCCACTGAAAGTGGTTGTGGCTCCTTTGTTCCCTCTCGCAGGCTTCCGGGCCCTACACTAGCAGAAAAGTGTTGTTCTTGGCACAGCCCCGTCTCATTGTACAGCCCAGTATTTATAAATATGTAAATATGAGCGGCACCAGGCATAACATGGCCCGCTTGTATACACCAAGGAGGAGTGACAAGGAAGTGAGTACACACCCCGCT